GTTCTGGTTAGTTGTATTTACATTTTTGTTTGTTTGTAGGTCTTTTAAAATTTCTTCTGTGACCCATTGGTTGTTCAGGAGGTTGTTGTTTAATTTCCAAGTGTTTATGGAGTTTTTGGAGTTCCTTTTGTGGCTAATTTCCAGTTTCATTGCACTGTGGTCAGATGATATGCATGCAATAACCTCAATTCTTTTGCATTTAGGTAGATATGCTCTATGGGCAAGAATGTGGTCTATTTTAGAAATAATCCCATGTGCAGCTGAGAAAAACATGTATTCTGATGTTGTGGGGTGGAACACTTTGCATACATCTACTAAGTCCATTTGTTCACAGATTTGGTTCAGATCTATAATTTCTTTGCCAGTTTTTTGTCCAATTGACCTATCTCTTTGTGTCAAAGGGGTGTTGAGGTCTCCTATTACAATAGTGTTATTAATTATTTGGATTTTCATGTCTGTTAAGATTTGTCTTATATAGTTTGGTGCTCCGATATTTGGTGCATACATGTTTATGATTGTTATCTCTTCCTCTTGCAGTTTTCCCCTAACAAGTATGAAGTGACCTTCTTTATCTCTTTTGATCATTCTCGGTTTGAAGTTTACATTGTCTACAAACAGAATAGCTACACCTGCTTTTTTTCTGGGTTCTTGTTGCATGGAGAATTGTTTTCCATCCTTTGACTTTCAGTCTATGGATTTCCTTTTGAGTAAAATGTGTTTCATGTATATGGCATATGGTTAGGTTTTGTTTCTTAATCCACTCTGCCAGTCTGTTTCTTTTGACTGGTGATTTGAGGCCATTTACATTTATGGTTACAACTGATATATGTTGGCTTATCATTGTCATATTATTTGCTTGCTGTTCATTTCCTACTTTTTCTACCTATTTAATTGCTCACTCTGCTTGAGGGTTCCCTTCTGTTGTTGTTCTTGAAATTGTGGTCATTTTTTTCCTCTTTCTAAAATATCTTTTAGTACTCTGTATAACGATGGTTTGGCACTCATGAAGTTTTTCAGTTGTTCTTTGTTATGGAAATATTTTCTTTCTCCATTGAATTTGCAGGATAATTTGGCAGGATACATCAATCTTGGTTGGAAGCTGTTTTGTCTCAGGACCTGTAATACTTCTTGACTGCAAGTTCTTCTCAACTAGATGGTTTCTGTTAAGAAATCTGCCGTGATTCTGATGGGCTTTCCTTTATAGGTGATCTGTTTCTTTTCTCTAGCAGCTTTTAACAGTCTGTTCTTTTGCTGGAGATCTGGGAACTTGACTATTATATGTCTGAGGGTAGTTTTATTTTCATTGTGGTTGGTTGGAGTTCTATATGCCTCATTTGTCTGTATATCAGGTTCTGTTTCCATATTTGGGAAATTTTCCTCTATTATTTCTGCAAATATTCTTTTTATGTCAGTTGTGTTGCCTCCTGCTGTTTCATTTACTGCTATTAGTCTTACATTATACCTCTTTGCCTTGTCTTGCATCTGTTGAACTGATTTTTCCTGGTTCCTTGTTGATTTTAAGAGATCCTTTCATGATCACTAGCTGCCATGATGCTGTCTTCAAGATCTGAAATTTTACCTTTGACTTCATTCAAGTTGTTTTGCCAGTTTTCAATGGAAGTTTTCATTTCCTGGATGTCTCTTTGAATCTGTTTCATGCGTTCTAGTTCACTCCTACATTGTTCATTTATGTTTCCTTCCATTGCCTATGTTCATCTATTTTTTATATATTTCTTCTTTAGATGTGATGAGCAATTCTTTCATTATTATTGTCATTTCATTTTTTGCCTGAGAGATTATTTCTGATCTGATCTCTTCTATGGCCTGATGGAATTGTTTCTTTACTTCCTTTGCAATCAGCAATTTCAGGTGTGTGTTTACCAAGTTCTCCTATGTTGATGTCTCCTGGACTTGTTCTGAGTGGGGTGGAGTTCTG